TGGGAGCAGTCAAGAATCACAGCCATTTTTATAATCAATTTACCACAGATTTACAAGTTTGCCCAGTCTTATTTCCTAGTCATCCCTTGTGATGACACATCTGTAGAAAAGAGAAGCCCACAAGATAAAAGATTAGTAATTATAAATATGACTCATGTTTGCATGTTGTATAGAGCTTTATATTCTAACTAAGCCTTATTCTAAGTCTTATTCTTATTTGATCCTTGCGATAACCTTATGAGGAATGCAGGAAAGTTATTTATTCAACAAACATTTCAGGCATCTATTATGATGCTAAGTGCTTGGGATACAAGTATTAAAAAAATAAGCAGCAATTTTACTCTCTTACCTTCAGGGAGCTCCTCTTTTGGGAGAGGAGAGGATATACACAAATAACCATAATGGAGGGTAATTAGTACTGTGTTCAGGATAAGAAAAGACTGGTGTGTGAATGAGAACAGGGAATGGTTAATTCTGCATGAGAAAGGTAAAACAGTGGGAAGAGCATTGCAAACAGAGGAAACCACATGAAGAAAGAAACATGAAACCGCATATCATTTTGGCTGCAGAGAACTCAGAGATGCAGAGAGATGTTGTTAAGGGATGGCGTAGCTCCACCTGCCTTGATCTCCTCTGCATTTCTCCGGATGGACTCCATTCTCAGGCAAGCTCTCCTGTACTAGTGGTGAGCAGTTCTAATCTCACATATTGTCCTCTCAAAATTTCCCATAAGATTCTTGAAGTGATATTTCAGAGTGTCCACATCGGTGATCAGCCCCTTTTATTCAGGCGTATCCAATGTTATGTTATGATGGACCCCGTCTGATTCAGAAGTCCACATCAAAGTCAGATCCAGATCAGGGTTATTCAGATCACATGTCTTAAAGCAGTAGTTCTCAAATTTTATATGCAGCAGCCTCCCCTGAAGGGCGTATTAACACGCAGGTGCTGGACTGAACTCGCCAGAGTGTCTATCTGAGCAGATTAAGTTTGTATTTGTAAGCTTCTAGGTGGTGCTGATGCTACTTGTCCAGGACCACACTTTGAAGACCTTTGAGAATTGGAAGGATGCTTTCCTGGGAAAAAAATCTAAGTCCTAAGTCACCTGAAGACAGGGGCCTGGATTCCAGGCTGGCTGAATCTACAGAATTAAACTGTGACTGTCTGTGCACGTTCGGGAGCCTCCGGCAGTGGCTTGCATTTTAGCCCTTTTCTCCTTGACCTTTTCTGCTTCGCTTCTCAGTAACCTCATCATTCTTTTCTGGTTACACAAGGTTGCTCCCCTTCAGGCACTAGATCTTGACCATTCGGAATCACAATACATGTTCTTATTTTTGCTTGTTTTCCTCAGAAGAAACTGACTCAATGTTCTGATGGTTGCATAGCCACGAAAATCACAAAACTGATCCAGGATTCTTGGGTTAAGGGCCCTGTTCTGCCTTTTCGTGGCCTTGGCCATGTTACGTAACATCTCTGGGCCTTAATTCCTTTATATGTATGGTGCTGATAACAGTAGTATCTAATAATAATAACTGCATCGTAGGTATTGTTCCATGAGTTCAATTAATTCAATGATATTTACTATTTGCAAAGAGCTTAGAACAGCTTCTGATGCATATTTAAGGACTATATAAGCCTTAATTCTTATTTAAAAAATGTCCACTGTCAGTGCTCTAAATAATTAGACTTGACAGATTTTAGGACAAGGGGTCCTGAAATACTCACAGAGTTTAATTCCCTTTTTGAACATCTGACATAGCTACATACAAAAAATTAAATGATCCGGCAAAGATAGAGATGGTTATGAGCGCAGAACTCATGTTTCTCGTGCTCCTGGTACGCCACCATATGTCTTGACTTCTTTCGCATAAAGCGTGACTTCTCACGCAAAGACCATGCATGTCAGAAGCACTTGAGAGTAGATGAGAATTCCATGCTTTCCATTGTCTGTCCAAATAATCAGTAGCAAATTAGATGGTCTTTTGTAGCCTCTGTTTTCTTATTTTTGGAATGAAATTGAAATAGAAAGCTCTACAAGTTTTTTCTTTTGTTTTTGTTTGTTTGTTTGTTTGTTTGTTTGTTTTGTGAAGCCTAACTACAGATACATGTGTTAAGGGCCTGGGGACATACTGGTTTGTTGGTACATGTTTTGTTCCTTTCCTCTTTTCCATTTCCTTAAATAAGCCTATGGCATCTTAGCAGGAGCCTTTGCCTGTTACGCCAGCAAGATGGTAGAAATCGTACATTGGATGTAGACTATGTGAATGGGATGGAGAAAGTATTCTCCTGCAAGATGGCGTTCACTGCTCTACCAAGAGCAGTGACTTCGGTCTGTGACTACCTACTTCAGTTGTCTGTGGAACTCATGAACCCAAGAGTTAGTGGCTACCATTTATGGACTTGCTTTTCATGTGCTTGGCATTGTGCTAAGTCCTTGTAAGGCAGTCATCCATGTGTTTCTGATCTCAACACTAGGAAATTGTTAGGCCAGTTTTGGAAGGGACAGCATTTTTTTTTAAACTTTTTTTTT